CCCCAAAACCCCAAAACCCCATGCATGCTATAATACAGTCGCTTTGAAGAAATCATTTTATTGAGATAATAAATATGATTATAAATATCAATAGTTGTCACTCTACCTCATAGATGACCTTTTATTTTTTAATCTCACTCTCATTCCATCCTCCATTTTTTCATTTAAGCTATTTTTGGAAATAAACTCGCAATTTTTAAGCGATACCAACTCTGCAATGAATTAGTTCTTCTTTGACTTTACAAGCTATTTAATCGCAATGTTAGCATCAAATAAACATTAGTTTGCTTCTTTATAAACCTTAGCCTATGATTCAACTTCAAATAATCCCTTTTAGATACTAGTCATTAGCTTTGTTACTTATTCTCTAAGCTCATAGATAATCATCCAAGAAGAATGAAGTTCATCTGCTGTCTCAATCACAGCACCTACAATTGAAGCTACTGCTTCTATTAATCCATAATCTATCTCATGTATAAGGTCTTGATTAATTTTGTTGAAGAATTAAATAACTCCCATTAATTCTTCTTATCCATTAATATTCATAAACAATGGCACAATCAATATATTTTGTATATAAGTCAAATCCATAGGGTTATCACTTTCAAACCTGAATCTATTATCATAGCTGCCTTTAACACTCAATAAACACTTTTTATCCTTAATAGCTCGGCCTGTAATTCCAACATCACTTGGCACTCGAACTACTTAATCAGAATACTTCTGGTTTCTTTAAAACTAATCATTTAAAGCTGTATCCTCTTTCAAATAGCATAAAGAGTTGTTTTAGAGTTTAAAAGGATCCCTGAAGAGTATGTTAACCTATTTAAAGTCGAAAATTGAGGGTAGATTCTCTCTTAGGCTTCTTTAAAGTTTTAAATGAGTTTTTTACTAAGATATATTGTTGCAAAGGTTGAGCATTTAAATATTCTAGAAGCGAGTATATTAGTACATTTTGAAGAAAAATAACTTCTCGAAGATAGCTGAGAGGAAAACCTAAAAGTGATTAGCTATTACTTCATCATTAGTTGTAAATGCTATATTTTTGTTTTCAATGTATATGTATATCAATGGAAGATTTTTTGACTTGTCAAAACCTTACTTTTATGTTTGATTTATATTTGCTTTAACTGGAAAAGCGAATATGTGCTTTTAAAATAAACCTTTTTCCAGATCTACTACCTATGGTATCTTTATTTTTTATTTTGGATATTTTTGCTAATTTTTTATTGAGGATATTATCTCGAATCTAACATCATCCAAGAAGTAGGAAGTCGTAAGATTGTCTTTTGTTTAGTTTTCATTTTTAAATTACTCATCTTTTTCCTGTTTGTATAGATTTTAAATGTCTTTATCTACCATCATAATACGGACCATAGCCTAATGAAATATATCTATTAGAGCATCCTCTAGGTTCATAAAGAATTGATCTAAGGAATCAATTGAGTTTAGCTTTTAAACTGCTTTATCTAAATGGAGGAATGAAGTCATAAAAACATTCTCATTTATAAAGTGAGTTGCACTTGTGTGTTAGTATTTATTTGAATGTTCTCTGTGCATATTCAGGTTTTACTGAGATTAATCGCTTATTAATTGAGTTTGTGACTAATCACATAAATACAGATGATTAGAAAGAGTACTCTCCTTTCTTTGTCTTAAAAGTTCACTATTATAATCGAGATCTCTTTAATTTTCCTGTCATTTAGTTTGAAGCTTGTATTTAGAGTTTCGTCTTTATGAAAAAGGAGATAAGCTACTCATACTTTGATTTTAATTAGTTATTTACCTGGTAGGTGTGGACGATGTTTGCATTTAGGATAATATATTCCTATAGCATTTTATCTTTTGCAGCTAATCCTACTTTTGCTGATTCAAATTATTGATTTTCTAGCTAAGTTCAAGATTATTTTGCCTAACTTACTTAAATTCTTGAGTAGTTTTATTGACTTCTTCCTTTAACTATGAAACGAATAAATTTTAGTAGAAGTTATGTATTTTTCCTACTTTTGAGGTAGGATCCTAGTCTGCTTTTTCTTCAATATCATCTTTCAAATGATTATTAATAGTTTATAGTTAATTTTCAAGTTGCGTGTTTGAATCTTTTAATAACACCAATTCCTATTTAAGAGTTTTAAGCTTGATTTTATTTTTAATACATTTAAAGCAGCTCAATTAAGATGTTGATTTTGTGTTGCTATTTGGTACAACAGATGGAGTTTTATGAAGAATTTAGGATGAATCTCAATTTCTCATGAGATTATGGGAAGTTTAAATTAATCTTTGCCTTTAGATGTCTTTATCATTTTTAGCATTAGACTTTGCCTACTTTAAAATCAATCTTTATTTCACTATATCGTTATCAGATCTCTTTTTGAATGTCACACTTTCCTAAGTCGTTTTCTCAACAACACTTAGCTAGCTACTTTCTCAAGGAGCTTCAATAGGTGATTGAGATCTATGCTTGAATTCTTAATTTAGATTCTCATTAGATCTGTTTAGAAACTAATAGGATTTTTAAGCAGATTTGCACAATACAGTTCTTCACATGTTAAAATTTCCATATAACTATGTGAAGTTTACTTTATTGCCATCATCAAAATTTGAAATTTTATGATCTATTTAATTATCAATTACTGAACTTGAGTCTTAAAGCAGTTTTACTGGTGAAGTGCCTTAATCGTGCTGATTTGTAGTGCTGACACTTGCATTGTTGTTAAACTAAAATTAGAAGGGCGATTTTATTGAGTTTTTGAAGCCTTTAATGCTTAATTATAGTTATGGATCTTTTTTCTAGTTATATAGCGAATCATTTAGACCCATTTAGATTTATGCCTTGTATCTATCACTAATTGACTGTTTTCCAGATGTTACTTTCATTAAAATTAATTTAATCAATTCAATTATGTATCAATATCAATTTATCAAATATTCTTGTTAATTAGTTCTCAAGGGGTTTTGGGGTTTTGGGG